TTCGGAGGTCATACTGCCTCCGTCATCAGGGCGGTGAGTATGAAGATTTCTGTCTTCTGGGTTGTTGCGCTGTGTAGTCTGGTCGATGTTTATCAGGGCGCCCTGATGACGGGGGCAGTATGACCTCTGAAACGTTGGTAAACATCGACCATACTACACGGCACAACAACCCAGAAGACAGAAGACTATTAGCTTCTCAAGAACAACTCTGACCCATGGAGTTGGTTACGGTGAGAGGTCCTCGTGTATTTCGTTACGCTGTATCCGTCAGACAGTTTATTAACGTGTTACGTAAGAAGCAATGAAAGCCCGGCCGTCAAAAGTAACGGGAACAACTAACCTAGTTAACAATGTTTTTATCATCTAGCTCGCGATAGAGTATGTTATTTTCTCGGGATACTGAGTTTAACTTTCTCAGCATTAATATCTGTAATTGAAGGCGATCGTCCCATCACATTTTCGTAAATTGCTTTTCCATTAACTCCCTCCTCGTGCGTTCGGCAGTCGTCGGCGATCGCGTAATCAGGGCGGGGCTGTTAACTGGCCGGCAAGAGACACAGAAACGCTTGAAGACGAAAGTCAGCGTTGAATAGCCAACCCATGTATGAGTTTACAGGTCGTGATCGGCAAGAAAGTTTAGTCATGCGGCTCATTAGTCCACAACTTAACATGGTATGAGCGACTATCACCACACACAAATGTTCCGATCCGGGTTTCGTTGGGCCTGGTTAAGATGATAGCGATCAAACGTCACAAAGACATTTCGGGCTTTCTGACGCCAATTTCTTTTTCGCAACGAAAATGTGTTCGTAGCTCCGAAACAAATCCCGTCGACGTGATTTTCTCGGGGATTATCGTAGCTGCAACTCCATCCCAGAAATAATTCTTCCTGCCCCAGAACTCAAAATTAACCTTCGATTTTCTTAGATCGTTACGTAATTCGTTCAAGGATTATTGGGTATTCAGGCATTAAATGAAAAATGTAATGATACGATAATCAAGCCAGGTCAGGCTTAGGTAGGGCACGGTAAAAATTTGATAAACTTCAGGTTCGGGACGGGTGAAATTTTAAAATTTACGCCCCGTGCTTACCTCCAGTACGCGTACTTTACCCTTTAAATGACATTACCTTAATCGTGTAGAACTAGTCTAGTATATGTTGCAAGCTACGTGCTTATATTCTGGTGATTACACAACGCCAAATCTTTGTTTGTTTGTTTGTTTCGTTTCTTAACCAATCATAAGGAACTTCTTACAGAACCTTGAAATGTTTACCTCAAGGTATTACAGGAACTAAGAATGCGTTCTGTTACTGAAAATTACCGACTTCGTTTTCACAGCACAGCAAAGGACGACGAAATAATAAGATCTATTTCCCGGGTTGCGATTCTCCTAATATCAGACGGAAATCGTAGTCACTGGCTAAGAACGAGAAATGAACCACCTTCCGACCATACTAGTGAAAGTGATTCTAAAATTCGCCGTAGACCGAGAGACAGGAAGTCAACTCGTATCACAGCTCACTCCGTCGTCCCCGCAAACCGAACATCTCAAAACAGATCGCTTCGTCGTTGTTCTTGATCGTCTCATTCAATAGAAATTCGTTCCGTAGGTCAATCAATGACGCTGTATCAACTGCAAACACCGAACGAATTCGAGAGAGGAGGATGGCTATGTATGGCAGTAGCAAGGGTAACGACGCGCCCAGGGAGCTGAGGAAACCCATGACGGCAGCAGATTGTTTCAGTGAAGGAGGATATCCTTAAAGGACTACTCCTTGGCTATTAATCCTTTTGTCTTTATATTAAAATAAAAAGAAATAAAAGAATGCATACTGTTTTGGTGGGCAGGAAATAGACCAGACGTACGTGGGAGGATAATATTAAAATGGTTCTTGGAGAAATAGGATCAGATTCATCTGACTCAGGATAGGGTCCAGTAGCGGCCTTTTGTGAACAATTTAATGAACCTTTGGATTTTATAAAATGTCGGGAATTTCGAGCGGTCGAGCGACTGTTGGCTTCGCAGGAAGGACTCGCTATCCTATTACATACCGTAAACAGAAACATTTTCAAGGAAAATAACTTGGTAGTTCTTCCAACAATTTCATGTCATACGTTTAGTTCCGAATATTTCCGACAGTGTGTAGCATAATCCACTCGTCAACTTTCGGGTGTTTGTCGAAATTACGCTGCGAGGACTGGGGGTATCGTAATATTTATTCACTTCAGCAGGGCGTACTACGGCGAAAAGAAAGCTCTGATACAGCCTACGTCCCCTGCAATTCTCTCTAGAGGGGGATCTGGTCCCATGTCGGTGTCAACCTAAACCCAATAACAAGGTGTGCAAACACCAAGGAAAGTGAAAGTAAGTTGCGATAAAGATCCGCGCGTTTGCTTCGCCAAGGAGCGGTGCCTGGACTTGTGACATTGCGTATGGTCATGAGCATCCCTACTTCGACGGGCACATATTAACCTAGTGTCCGAAATAATTACGTCTCTGAGTGGGTTCCCACCCGCCTGTGAAGCGTAATTTCGTCTTGGCAACTTCGTAAAAAACATAATTTATTTCATAATACTAATGCCTTCACGAAGTCAAAACTCCTGAACAGCCTTCATCGTCCTTAAATTGCTCTGCACTTTAAGATGAACGTCTTCTGGACTGTTACGCCGCGTAGTCTGGTAGAAGTTTACCGACGTTTCAGAGGTCCCTGCTGCCTCCGTCGCCCTGTTGATAGAGGCAAATCTCTGCCGTTCTTAGTTTCGTTTGTCAGTCGCGTCTTCGCTAACCGCAGAGCTTCTCAGCCTGAGTGGTTGTCTTATGATATTGTCAAACGCGTTTCCTTAGAATAAACAAGAGTTGGTACGGCAATCCACTTTCTATAATTCCAACACTACGGTGCATCAGGAAACTGAAAGTTTCCCACAATAAAATGTACGTGAAGTCACCAGCTTCGGCTCCACTTGGGTGAATACTAAATTCGCTTTCAATTTTACACGGAATAGAAATGCAAGAGTACTGACACCACGGAACAAAACTGGAACTAGATGTAAGTCCTTTATTCCAGATAAACCGTGACACAGTCACGCTGTTTTCCACGGATTATAATCGTTCCTTACGATTAGTAAAATTACCACAAGCTCGGCCAAGTATTTTCGCCATCAGGTGGTGCAACCTGCAACTCACATATAGGTAACCGGGCAGTACATGTTTCGTCTTTGCTGGTGGAGCAAATAACTCCATGGAGCAGTCCCCTTGAAAAACAGAAAATCAATCAGTCAAGAAATTTCTTGCCTTTACAGAATTCCAAAGTTCAGCACTGTGTCCACAACCCCCCCCCCCCTCAAATCCTATCCTGAATCAATTGAGTCCAATCCACACACCCACGAATGATTTGTTGTGATCAACATTAACATCCCATCGACAACGGTGTCTCCAAAGTGGCTTCTTCCTTTTAGTATCCCCCAGTTAAAATTTTATATGTATTTATCATCCCTCTAGGCTACCACATACCCGTTCATTTCACGGTCCCTGGCGAGGAATACGAGATGGACGAACTAACATGCAATTTTACCTTTTGCAGGGAACAATACCTGTTCAACGTGTTCGAGGTTATCATATCGACTCTCGAAACGAAATTGCAGCGAATAGAGAACCTCGATAAAGCAGTAGAGCACTTAATGAGGAGAGTTGAAATGCTGGACTCAAGAGTCACTGACAACATCGATAAAACCGATTCGGTCATAGCAAAATTGGGGACACTGGACTTGAAACTGTTCCACCAGGATCAACGTACGGATTCCGTCGGAACACCCAGAGCTGCTTCACCCTCGGCCGACGGCGCGAGGCTGGACATGCGTCTCGTCTCCCTCGACCAGAAAGTAAGCGATATTGACACCAAACTGGTAGGGCTCAAGAACCAACTCGACACAAATTTCTTGCCGGCTGACGACATTAACGCAGAGGCAAGCGAAAAGAAACCGATAAGTATGAACGCGGTTGACATTACTAAGATTCTGAACGCCGAAGTAATGACTCATGTATCACGGGAACTGGAAGGGCTCAAGACTGCCACAAGCAACGTTGACAGGAAGTTACAATTCCACATCAACCTAGTATCCGAGAACTTGGGCAAAGTGTTGAATCTGGTATCGGACGTCCACGAAGCAGTTGTGGAGCCCGAGACGACGACCCCAGTACTGCCACAGGTATTCAGAAACAAAACGATCACAAGTTCCGCATCTTCTATAAAGAACAGCAAACTTGACACACTGGTCAAACACATGCACCCCATCCTCAGCGTGTCCGAGAAAATGGATGAAGTGTGGGACGTCGTGGTCGGAACTAAAACTTCTGTCGATGATCTCGTACCCAAGTCCGACGAGCTCCTCACTCAGACCCAGAGACAAGAACGCGCTATCAGCGACATACACGCAGACCTCCGCATAAAGGCCAATAAAATCATTGCTAATTTAGACCTGGTGGAGAAGCGACTTAAGAAACAGGAAGACGATGTCGCAACCCTTGCACAGAGACCCGTCCCCGCAGAATTATTACTCGACCCCACGATCGATCGTTTGGTCGAATACGATCCCAACAGATATTCCGTTGTAATGTCGCAAGACGACGTGGTCACGATAACCGAACCACCACCACAACCATCTACACCTCCAGCAACCACAAGCAATCACGTGACACAAACCACCGTCAACTTCATCTCATCACCTAGCACAGCCACGCCTGCAACCGCTTTGACTACAGCGGCCAGCAGCCGAGGAGGAACCACGAGAAGTCGCGGCGTCATATTCCCGAGCGTGAAGAACAAACCCTCTCCAGCCAACACCACCTTCACGAGCGACCTCATAAACATCAAAGACGTCAAGGTGAGTGAGTGAGTAGCTTCTCGTCAGAAACAGGACAGGATCTTAAAATTCGGATGATCTGTTGCAGTTTCTTGAGATTTCAGGTTCTCAAGGCGGCGTGTACGAAAACGGCTGTCTTCTGGGTTATTGCTCAGTGTGGTCTGACAGACGTTTACCGGCGTTTCAGAGATGCTAGTCGCCCGCAAACGTAAGTAAACTTCTACCAGACTTACGACGCAACAACCCAGCAGACAAATCATCATATTCTTCACACACCCCGAAATTCGTACGACCGCCATGGTGGTATCATTAATGCTTCCAGTGGCAAGAAGTCCATACGAAGTTTCATGACACATTATTCTCGTCTATGCCATAAGTTGGCGTTTCCTTAAAAAATAAGGTAAAGAAGCTAACACATGTCTACATGTAACATTGGTAAAATAACATGAATAAGTTTGTTCCTGTCTGACGTAATATAGTCCAAAACGTGGTATTATACAATGCTCGAGAGATGTAAATAACGATGTGTGTGAGGTGTAATTTTCTATTCTAATCTCCGTGGATAAAATGTCTTTAAAGCCTGTTTGCAAATTGTAACAGGGCAAATGTTATGAAACCCGGTAAAATTTTTCCCACCTCCAGAAACGCGAGTTTTCTAACAAACCAGTCAACTAACGTTGCAATCTTTTGTTAAAACTGCAAGATTAACGCACGAAGAGCAAACTCGGCTTCATTTTAATTAAATCTCCAACCAGCTGAATGCCAGCGATTATCAGACGATCGGCAACTAAATTAACACATAGATAAAAATGCATCGCTGTGTTTGTCGCCCACCTCTCGAAACAAATGACGGGCTTAACACCCGATGGGACGACGATGTACATAAACGGAAACGGGACGAACTGAAATTACTATTAAAAAATCAACTTAACAAAAAGTATTTTTGCCTATCTTTTGCTAAAACTATTTAAATATTAACAAACAACGACAAGTATTCTCCAATGATTACCGATTAGGAGGAATACGGATGGAAGCGGTCGTGGCCTACTTTAAGGAGTCTCTACAATCGCCTGGAGCCGCTGAGGACTTCACATATCCCACGAGATCACTTCATTTGATACAGAGTCGTGAAATAACCGAATTAAACATATTATTCCGAGCAGCCCACATCTTCCTCAACACAGACAACCAACTATTAATACAACGGTAATCGAACTCATTACTGCTGTCTTTTGTAGGGTTACTCCTGCGTGGACTTGCTGAACGCCGGCATGAAGGACTCCGGAGTTTACTACCTGCAGATCAGAGGAACGACGTACTGGTTCCTCAAGGTGTACTGCGAGCAGGAGGTGGCAGAGGGTGGCTGGACAGTAAGTAACAAACTAGGCCTTCTACGTTCACTTGCTTGTGGCAAATATCTCCTGATCTCTGCCCACCCGGCGAAATGAGAAAATTACCCACGATTACAAATCCGCCGTTTCTGAGAAAAAAAATAAATTTATGTATAGCAGAAGTTACATTCGACGAATACGAACCATACAACTATTAGTGTGGAGCCCCTGTATAAAGCTTAATCGAAATACACCCAGAAATTTCGGTGATAAAACATTCCGAAAGACAGACATGAGACAGCCGTCTTCTGGAATGTTGAGCCGTGTACTCCGATTGACGGAAGTTTCTGAGGTACTTCCTCCACCATCTGGACGCCAATTTCTACCAGACTACACGGCGCAACATCCTAGAAGACAGTCAGCTTCATACTCACCGCCGTAAGGACCTGATATCTCACCTTATTCTGCGCTTTGTGCAAAGAACAGAAAAATTCGGCCAGAGACAGAGCGTTATAAGACCAACTGATGTTACTCCACTTCGTAAAATCCAACTTGTGCGGTCATTTCTAACAAGTGAGGCCTGCCATTTTGACCTTCACCGTCAAGCTATCAAAACTATAAATAAATCGATAAACTACCCCCCCCCCCGGGTCCTTATCTGTCCTCCTTTTAGCCTACCCACTGAATTTACAGAGAAAGGAGGTTGGTTTCAAACAAGACAGGTCCATGAAGCAGACCTGTTCTAAATCGAAGCGAGTAAATAAATTTGACCAACTGGAAAATATTTTCTCGCCTGTTGATCTGTTGATCGTTACAGCCAAATAACAAATACAGATAACCAATAAACATTGGAACGTGATGACACTAAACGAGGAAGGAATAAGTAAATAAAAAAAAACTTGAATAGGACACTCAGTTCCTCGGCTGTGTCGGCAAAAATATCACTCGCCGAAAATATAACGCTGAAGATCGCCAACAGTCGCCACTGCCGGCAAAGTGATCATTAGCGTCAATTAATTACAGTAAAGGTAAAAGAATTATTAGTTGTCGTTATCCCCTGACAATTTAAATATCAAGAAACGGAGTTTCTCAAACAGCCTGAAGTGTTGAACGCACGAATGCGTCTTAACCAGCAGAATCTAACATTCTCACAATTTTCTAGAACAAATAATTCTCAAAGTTATTTTAAAAACGCAATTTTACCGTCAAACGAGACAGGAAGGTGATCATTAATAGTAAACAGATGATAATTTTTAAAGGTGCAGGGTACACTTTCAGGAACGTATTTTGTTTCGCGTTGGTATATTATGACAGTGCCTATCTGAATTCAGACCAATGTTTAGGTGATTCAGAGACGTGACGACTTCGGGGAACCACGGGAGAACTTCAACCGTGACTGGGCCGATTACAAGAACGGCTTCGGTGACCCCGCTAAAGAGTTCTGGCTCGGAAATGAGAACATCTACATGCTCACCAACAACGAGGACACCATGCTACGAGTGGAGCTGGAGGATTTTGAAGGCAACAAAAGGTAACCGATGTGGCAGTTGAGGGCGCTGAAGACACGATTAACCCTCTGAAGCCGAAGCTCGCCTACATTATATATAAGAATTCAGTCCGTACCGCAAAGAAAACACCGCACTTCACCATTACAAAGATCAACTGGTTAACACTGTTTAAGAAATAATCGCTGTTTACAGGGAGAATCACAGTTCGTCTGATTAATATTTAAGAATTGAGTCCGTACCGCGAAGAGAACACTACTCTTCACCATTACAAAAATCAACTGGTTAACGCTGTTTAGGGAAATAACAGCTGTTTATTCTGGAAGTCATATGAAACCGATAAATAATCAATTTGAGCAAATCAGGTGATACACATAGTACCAATAGGATTTAAACTACATTTTAACTACAAATGTACTTCAAATCTATCTGTAGGGTGATTAATCTGGTTAATCAACAGGGTAACTTGGTGCAATTCGCAATAGCACGCATCTGCCCGCCCGTCTCAGTACCTTGCCATACTGAGTGTAATTCCAATGTAATTTTCGCAATTTTTAGAAGTGATCGTTGACATCGTGTTCTGTCCATCACCCTGACAACTTTTATCCAGGGGCACCGACGTCATCCCAATAAACACCAACACTAATGTTTAACCATTAACACAAAAGTGTCTTCGGTTCCACTAAGGCACTAACTTTGCGCATGAGGATTTTGCCTTTCGCTAGGGTTTTCAAAAAGGTAACCCCCCTACGAACGTCGAGGGTGAGTTGTGTAAATGTATCAGAGTAACACAGAAAAATTGCGGGGGAAAAGCAGCTGTTGAAACAAGAGAAATTATATAAAAAAGACAGTGCTAGTATGGACCGGAATCTGAGCGAAAATAAAAGACGAAAAGAAATCTCTTACAATCCAATACGAAGGAGACAAGAAATGCTTACAAATATAGACACAAACAGAACACTGATCTAGATCGGGCAATTATGTAAGTAACTAGAAAGCGATGTGTGTGTGTGTGTGTGTGGAAGAGAGAAAACAACTGCTTAATTATGAAACATTCAAACAATAATGAAAACCACAACAGCAGCTTAAATTCATATCATTAACGGACAATGAACGGAACTGTAAAAAGTTAGTACGAGCCTCTTGTGAAATAATAACGGTTCGTAAGTTGACCGAATACGTAAGACACGGACGACGTTGATGTATCCATTTTGAAACTTCCTTTCGAACGAGTCTAAAAATCAAACAAAATGCTAAATTATCCAGGTGATGACGTCAGTACTTACTGAAACATTTTCTGAGTCTTACTAATTCCAAGGCAGTTCCTGAATAATTGAACAACGTTGAGAAATACTTATAAGAACCAATCTCAATTACACTGACATTTAATGCATTACAAGATGTACAAAATAAATTATCAGAGTGATTTCGGATATTCAAAGAAAATAGAGAAATGAATATTATACCAGTGCAAGGAAAAACTTAAAAAAAGAAAAGTTTGTAGCATTCGGAAAAAATGACGGAACACCTATGATAAAATTTCCATTCCGGAGAAAGAAAGCAGAAAATCTGGGAGTCAACACCAGCAACAACGTTGCAATTTTAAATTTATTTCCCACAAATAAAATGCATCAGATGACGCCGACTGCATTTTACCCGTTTGTTCAATTACTGATGGTTTCTGAAGTAACCGAACCCCTATCATCAAATATCAAGCTTAAGCCATGTGTTTGCTTTCTGTACGGACTCTGATACATAATTTATTTATATACAACACTAAAAACCTAGCATTCAAATAAAAATGTAGTGTCCTGAACTCAAAGATTACACTCGCATGCACTTTCAT